ATTCCTGCTAGGGAAGCAGCAGAAACTTCCCCAGAAAGGCCTCAGTTGCCTTAACTGGCATAAGGCCTCATCTATAATCACACATGATCTTAATGGGATTACTGTTGGAATCCAGCTTTGTCATTTAGTAAATTCTCCAATGCCTAAAAGCTTACAAAGAAGAATTTTTCTAATTATGCAGTTGGTCTAATCAAAAATACTATGTTTACCCAAAGAACCTTGTCTAGCCATGTCCTTAGACCAGCAAGGCTGCAACCAACAGCCCTACCACACCAATTTGCATTAAACAGGGAGTGCAAGTGCAGATCTGTGCTAACCTAGAGTTTAAAAAGGGCCAGTCCATTTGTTGATATATGGTGGTATCTGCATCTTTTACAGAATAATTGCCATCACAGTAGTGTTCAAGCTGTAAACTATGACAGCCTATTTAGTACTACCATAGCATTTCACTTAAATACCAAGTTTTCCTTTTATTTGAAGGTACTGTACAGCATTATATACAAAAAAAAAAAAAGGAATCTGGAAGTGGGGGAGAAATTGACCTACAAAAATATGTTCAGTATCTTAGTATACAAATTAAGGATTTATACAAGGCTTTTAAATGGAACATGATTTTAATAAGAAACTCTCTTCTTTTTTCTCTTTTTGTTACCGACTTTTTTACTTGAATTTTCTTGTTTGGAGCTGGTAGGTGTTCTGTGAACAAAACATTCAAATGCAAAATTAGACTACATTTAATACATATGGAGATAAATCAACACTTATTTCATACCAATCAAATCAGATTTCAGCTCTGATACAACATTAGCCAAAACCACCATGCATACGGTGCTCTACATAGAATAAGGTACAAAATGGTTAAGGGCAATTACCATCCAGACTATCTGGTTCTCATTAATGAGTATGGACTGATTTTGTTAAGTAAGTCATAACAGGCATTTTTCTCTAAATAGGAATAAAACTCTAGGTTTACTGCCTTTAAACACTTCAGTCACCAGTCCACTAGATATTATTGATAAACCATCTACTACTAGTGGGGCAGATTCTGTGCAGTGCAATATACAGTGATAGACTAAAAATATAGTTGACTGAGCTGTAGAGGCAGCTGTTTCTAATCAACTTTCTTGTTCCCTCCTGGATAACAGAAATATCCAAATAACTGTTCTGAATTGCACCTGCTGGAACAGTTCCACAAGCACTTTTATCAGTCGGTGATCAACAAGGATGCACTGACTTCATGACTAAAAAAGGCACAGGCCAGGTAGAGACCAAAAAAAAAAGGAAGATAATGATTATACCTGTGCATTTCCTTGCATCAAAAGCTCCTGCCTATCTGTTTCAGCAGTGCAAAAATATTTCAAAGCAGGAGATGTGTCAGTTCTCAGCAAGTATGTTAGGAAAGGGTCATTTTCTTATAAATGCACAAGGCAAACTAGAATACTTGAATCTATGCCTTGCCCAAACCATACACAGCAAGTGGTCATTAAAATATTCCCCATCTCATTCTTTAATTATATGCTATAGTTACCTGGTTTTCTTTGGTACTTTTTCTGGTTTTAGAATAACAACTTCTTCCTCTTCACTGTCAGACAGCACAATAGTGTCATCTTAAAAAACAAAACAAAACAAAAAAAAAACCGTTGCTTTATACATGGCATTTTTGTAGATAAGCAGTTAGTACATTCCTAGGTAATTATTTAAAGCTGGGAGATGCTTACTCTACAGCTACAGTAACTCTGGTAAACAGTAAATACCTTTCAGTTATAAGAACTGCACACTGCTGCATATTTCAACAAGGGGACCAGTACAAAGCACTGAGACCACAAGGTAATTTGAATACATTTGTTTCCCTGGGATGATTTTTCTTACTGCTGAAGTGAACAGCCTCAAATATACTATAGTTAAAACAGGAGTGAGGTTTTCATTCCTGTCACAACTTAAGCAGATACTAACCTTTCTTAGTCTTGCTCACAATGCTTACATCTTCCATTTCCATTTTTGGATCCTCCAAAGTGTCAGGATCATTGTCATCATCTTCCTCTTCCCCTCTCTCAGATTCTTCAAGTTCCCCCCAGGAGTTCTCTACCCCTTCTCCAATTTGGGCTGTTCCAGGGGTCCACAATATTGGTTTGGCAAAGCTGAACTAGTTAAGACCAACTCCAGGAATTAACAGACTCTTTCTCTGTGCTCATTTATAAAAGCAGGCCAGACAGTCCTTAAGCTTACCAGAAGACTAACATGCAGGTATATAAAGAATGTGTGCTGAACACCAAAGACTGTGAACATGATGAAGCAGTGGCAAATCAGCATGCTGGAAGTATCCCCAATGCCTGACCAAATAAAATGCTAAATTTATGCACACTGGGGTAAACAAGTGATCCCCTTTGCAGCTAATATCCATCCATTGGAAATAGCTGGGAATGGAGGTGCTGCTTTTCCCCTCTGTACTGCAAAAGCAACATGCTCCTTTAAGGATTTCAGGTTACCCTTGAGTGACACCTTCTTGCTGAAGCTTGGAAGAGAAGTGAATAACTATAACTCAGCACTCTTTTAAGCATCTAGCTGGGGTCATCTGAACCCAGCTCTCTTCCCTGCCTATGCAGGGGGTCAGACTCGATCTATTGAGGTCCCTTCCGACCCTAACATCTATGAATCTATAAAGTGCTGCAAAGTCTCCTTAGCTGAAGAATAAGAAAGTAGTAGGGATAGTAATGAAAAAGGGAAGCAGAAAAAAGTTCCAGAGGCAAATTCTCATATCCTTGATAAGCAGATTAACAAGACAGATTCTTTCACCTAAAGGCTTCTGCAGTTGCCATAATACAATCTTCTAAGAAATGAAGAAGTCAGAATGTTGTGTGTGTTTCAAGAAGCTGCAAGTGAAAAGGCCACAACTGCTCACTATAACAAATGATACCATAAAAAGATACACGTCCAAAGGAGGATCAGCCTTCATGATGATTTCTTCAGCTTGCTCTTCCACATCATTAGCATCCACAAGAGCTCGTTCCATTTTGAAT